AAGGTGTTCATAGTGTGCTGAGTGCTGAAGAATATGCTGTCTTACCATGGTGTTCATAGTGTGCTGATTTCTGAAGAATATGCTGCCTTACCATGGTGTTCATAGTGTGCTGATTTCTGAAGAATATGCTGCCTTACCATGGTGTTCATAGTGTGCTGATTTCTGAAGAATATGCTGACTTACCATGGTGTTCATATTGTGCTGATTTCTGAAGAATATGCTGGCTCACCAAGGTGTTCATGGTGTGCTGATTTCTGATGAATATGCTGACTTATCAAGATGTTCATAGTGTGCTGATCTCTGTTGAATATGCTGCCTTATCGTGGTGTTCACAGTGTGCTGGCTTACCATGGTGTTCATAGTGTGCTGATTTCTGAAGAATATGCTGGCTTATCAAGGTGTTCATAGTGTGCTGATTTCTGTTGAATATGCTGGCTTATCAAGGTGTTCATAGTGTGCTGATTTCTGATGAATATGCTGGCTTATCAAGGTGTTCATAGTGTGCTGATTTCTGTTGAATATGCTGGCTTATCAAGTTGTTCATAGTGTGCTGATTTCTGATAAATATGCTGGCTTATCAAGGTGTTCATAGTGTGCTGATTTCTGATGAATATGCTGGCTTATCAAGGTGTTCATAGTGTGCTGATTTCTGATGAATATGCTGACCTATCCAGGTGTTAATAGTGTGCTGATTTCCTAACAAGGTGATTTTGATCAGTTAAATTCTCTTAGTTATCTAGTACAATGTAAGTTGACAGTGTATTCTAATACATTAATATAGTTACTTACTATTTTCACAGTGTTTTCCATAGTATCCGGTACCACTACATTGACAGATATATTCTTGATTTTTCAACTGTAGACAAATTCCATTATTTTGACAGGAACTGGGTTCACATACATCAGCTGAAAACACAATTCTCATATTAAATAGTTTATAGACGACTAAGGCAGTGTGTTGCATTGAATATAATACAAAACATGTTATGAATTGTTGTGTGTGAACACTCGGCAACTCCTTACACATTCAAGTTAATTGATTTAGTGATTCCATTAAACAAAAAATTAAAGTGCACTATTCATTAATTGTCAGTCTTTGATCCTCTTATTACAAACAACACAGGTTGTGATGTCAAATGCAAATATGGTAGTGTATATGCTGTACCAGTGTAATAAAACTAACATGATTCCTCCACTATTACAGATGAAACTATTAATTTCCGGTAGTAAAAATATTTGTTTTTTTCTGAAGCAGGAATTAATAGGATAAAAATTGAAAATGTTGTGTGTGTGAAATAATAGAATAATTTTTAATTGATTCAATAAACAGTGATTTGTGTTTTTATCAGATGAATATAGATACAGACAGATGCACATCTGCCATAAACCCTGTGTGACCCCAAAACTGGACATTTGAAAAACTAGGTACGATACTCTTGTTTTTCTCTAAAAAATCTATAATATATTTAGATCAATTGAGAAATTCAGAATTATGCAACTGAAAGCTTTGTTTAACTGGGTGTGCCAATTAATAGAGACTATTTTTACAGTACTACAATATGTAAACTTACCATACATGCTCATTTGACATTTGGTTTTATCGTTGTATTTGAAGGGATTATCACATGACTTGATGATATCACATTTACAGATTTGACCATCTATGTTGCACCCAGACCACTCAGTATCACAGTCTTGAGCGGATACTATGCAATGAAGGTATTCATTTATTAGTTATTGCTAACTAACATTAAACAATTAAGCCAAATAAAACTGCATCATTTTCCCATATTTAAATGCTGATCAATTCTTAGAGCAAACAAGAATTTAAAATTTGGTCCAAAACTAGTAAGCATTTGCAGACAAAAGCAAATTCCAAAGAGAAGGCAGACAGAATGTACAAACAAATGCTGAAGATAACAGTGTTCTTTTTGATGAAAAGTTGCATTCTGTAAAAAACCCTCATATGGTATATGTCACTTACCTAATGACAGTAATATTGTTGCCATGACAAGAAAGACACCAAATGTAACCAAGGACTGCATCTTTTGCAATCTTACTAACTATAATAAAACAAAACCAAAGAATAGAAAAATAAGTATCCAATTGCATTCAATTACACTTGTGTTGGTTCCAAGTTTCCACTCAGAGACAGAAATTAGTTACAATTGATTACTAACTGCTGTTTAAGCTAATGAGGCACATATTCATCAATATCTTCAAAATATACTAGCCAGTCACACCAAACCTAAAACTGCACTCAAATGAAAACATTGATTTATGATATTTTAAAGTTTGAGAAAGAGTCAACAAAAATTATCCTTGCCACAAGAAGTATTAGTGACGACAACGCTGGCAAAGATGTCAGACATTGTAACCACTATACCTTCTTATTTCATCATCATTAACTAATATACTATTGCCGTACTTTCCCGACCATCAGCCCTTCCCAAAAAATCCTTAATGTTAGCATACCAAAATTAATTTTTTCCTCCAGAACCCAACCAGGAGAATATGGAGTGAGTGTTGCCCTGACAACTTGTCCAGGGGATGGAAAGGTAAATTAAAATGCCTGTGAAATGGCTGCTATTTTCACGCCTAAAATTATCCATTGATACATAAATATTATTCATTTTTATGTTTCTAAGCATAAATTATTTTTTTAAGTGAAAAAATGCGTTTTAAACTCGGTCTACGGCAACTTTTTTTTTGTGTATTTTAAAACGAGGCTCCTCATTAGCTTCTTATTTGCATACAGAAATTCCCCCTGTGACGTCAGAAGGGGAAGTTGCTGAGTAGCTTGCATTGCCGATACGTGTAAATAAAGCAAATTTCTTGTGCTGTTTTCTCGTCTTTGACTAAATTGCCAATCATGTACTTGTTCATCAAAGAAAATTTGACCATAATGAACACATAGTATCAAGTTTGTTGCATGGGGTTGAGTCAGATACGAAATATGTCTGGTCTGGTGTAGATGGTCACCGTGGTCGTCACAGTCACCGGCGGACGTTTGTACACTGTCGCTGGACTCCGGCACTGGACAAAATCAAATTTGACGCCTGAATCATCTTGTAATTTAGCAGGTTACTAGGCACGTCACTACACTGTTTTATTTCATCGATTTTCTGAGTAAAAAAACACATTCAAAATAAAAATAACAAGCAGCCAGTCGGCTGAGATAGCTCCACTGTTAGCAATGCACATTGCAACAAGCAGCCTGTCAGCTGAGATAGCTCCGCTGTTAGCAATGCACATTGCAACAAGCAGCCTGTCAGCTGAGATAGCTCCGCTGTTAGCAATGCACATTGTACTCGACTTAGTCTACGATGAATGATATTCGCTGCTGTGATTGTGGAACATTTAATGGAGTTTCTCTTTGTCAAGGTGATCTTGATTTATGTGGACCGTGTAGAAATAAGCGATTCAAAACTACGTTGACCATGAGTATCTCCGAAGACAATGGCCAAATTGACTCTACCCTGGCCTTCGATGCTACTGGATCGAGCCGTGACAGCAATGACACTGCCACAACATCTATACCAGTGATAAATGAAATGCTCTGTTTTATTGTCGATAAAATGGATATCTTGCCAAATGATGTTATTGTAAACTTGTGCTTGGATACGTTTGGTGAGTCTGAAATTGACAATGCAAAATGCCTTTTGTTTGAACACTGTGGATGCCACAGCTCTCGTCGTTTGATCAGACGACAGGGTGCTAAGAAATCACTCAACAATGTACAAGATATTATTGTTTTGCTCCAGGAGATCGATCCTAGCAATATA